TTTTTTTTTTTCTTCTGCTCTGCGCATGGTGCAGATGCACTGGTCTTTTTTTTCAGTGAAATCGAACCGCTAGTATTTTCACCCGGAACACGGCTGACGGGAAGGGAGAGGAGGGAGACTGGAAAAGAGCTCCCCCCTCCTTCCTCGCTTTTCACTCCCTCCCCCCCTCACAACAACCCTACCCCGTTTACTGATAGGTTAAATGAGGCGCGCTTTCATTTCAACCAAAAAGTTCCGGAAATTCAGTGATAAAAATCAAATGGAATAGAAATTCCCGGTAACAAATATCGGAAGCTCCCAGCGGTTGTCCTCTTTGCCGGAAATTGTGCAAGAAGCTGTTCCACTCGCTACTGAAAATTTTCGAAATGCAACTCGGAAATTTTGGTCGAATGGAAAGCGTCCGAAGATAATAACGACAATGCATAGAGTTGACAAAAATCACGCAGCACGCGAGCGCAGATCAGAGTCTAGCCGACACCTACGAAAATTAGGACTGGGTTTTTCACAAATCATTAACACATCATTAAAGGATGTTTATTTCTGTGTCTTCACGCAGTTGATTCCTCTTTTAATCCATTGATCACGAGACTGCATGCAAAATCCGCTATATCACTCTTATGGTCTCTTGCGTAAGGCGAATGCTCATGTTTGTATATGTAATACAAAAAGGACTAAGTGCAGTCCAATTTGGAAAGAGGAAAGGTCTGGATGAAAAAATCTGAGGACTGCAAAATTTGGCAGTTAGAGGAGTTTTCTTTTTACTTCAGTTATTTCCAATTTGGACGAATGAAGTTGTCCAGATCTTACCTGGTAAATTATACTGCACCCAGAACTGCAGGGGCGGATTTACGGAAGGTAGATTAGGTGGCTAGCCACCCCGCATTTGGAGAAAGACTGTGAGAAAGACTGTGAGTATTATGGCAGAAATAAAAGCACCTCCCTGGACAGGTACCTCATTGTCATTACAAGTAACTTTATTCTAGCTAAAATAGCGATAAAATACGTCATTCTCTAACGGTTACAACAGTTAGCAAGAGTAACGAGAGTCCGCACGCATGCTCAATTGATCCTGCAACCGCAAGGTACCAGCCACCTCCCCTTGAAAATTCCTGGATTCGTTCCTGAACTGTCCAGTTAACTATTAATTTGGGCGGTATCCAAATTAACAATTAAATTGTACAGTTTGTAAAATTAACAAAAAGCCTTGCATGGGATTTTGGCTGAAAATATAATAAGTTTCTTTATTTTTATCTGGCATGTGTTTGGCATCAACGAACTCGATGACGTTCTCTCGGCGGAAACTCGCCTTTGCGCAAACTGTAGCGCATAATAGACTAGATTCCAAGTAACAAAATATCAATCACAGTTCTTACAAAATGCCACTTGTTGAGGCTTGTAATCTCGACATGGACACAAGCGAATACGTGCTGGATCTTTAGCTACACAGCTGAATAAAAGCGGCATTGCTTGAAATGTACATGACTGGTCAGCGGGATTGTATGAAGGCGCATGAAGAGTTTCCTCCTTAGCTTGTTTTCCACAGGATACTCCCAACCTGTGCAAGAGGAATGAAACAGCTACATGTAATGGAGTGGCTTCCAGCGTCACTTAAAAGCATGGAATAGCAAAGGAATGTTCCAACATAAACCAGGAGCCTGCATAAACCCATAGTGCATATTAAGTGCCACAAGTGGACCAATAATTGTGTTTTAATTAACTGACTTTTTTGAAAGTTTACTTTTCTTGGGTTCTTGGGCCATGATTAAATCTTTCCATATTTTCGTAACGGGGCTTATGATCCTGGAACTAGGCTAATGCAGATTTTGGTTTCCAGTGATTTGTTCTAACGCGCTTAATAGCCTCATTAAGACAATGGTAACGAAACGTAGCCAAACAGAAAGTTTAATGAGCAATGAAACTTAATAGTCTTTTCTAGGGCGTTACGTGAGAGACGGCAGCGAACAAAGAAGAGAGGGACTTAGTGCAAGGAGCGAACAAACGTGGCGCTACCCCCCCCCCCCCCCTTCCCCCATTTTTTTGGCCCCCGTTTTTCGCGCTGCGCGCCAACTAACTTTGCAAATTGTAAACAACTACGGATGGGCCAAACTTTTACCTCAAAATGAGAACCACAACGGGTATTATTTCAAATTTCTATTGCACTTAGAACTGATGGATATCTTTACATATTCATGTAAAGGATTTTTCGGACACCAATAGACCTTTCGACATTGTCCTCGGCATCACCACGCTTGCATGACAATTACTAAAAAACACACCACTTACTTTTGGAACTCCTCTGCTGAATTAATGTAATTGAAAAAGGATGGCTCACAAATAAAGCCTGAAAGATATAAATACTATTTTAATGAACAGGCGACTACAAAAATTAAAAAAGATTTAAAGAAAGAGAAACCTGACTGAATTTCATCATACCACTTTTCCTGCATGCGTCTTTACACGAGTCGCCATTTGAACCTAATGTTAAGTGCATTTCTTTCAACGGTGGCCATTGCTCTCCATGTTCGCAAAAATCCTGGAAAAAAAAAAACATAAATGGTATATTAGCTTCATAAAATCCACCTTTGATCTGTAACTAGTAGTTGAATTTTAAACTCTTTCCTATTAACCCCCTTAAATTCAGACAGATCTGTCGGGAAACGAAAATAATTCGTAAAAATTTCCGTTTCATCCGATCACCGCAAAATTTGGCTGAAAGACTGGGAAGGAAATTATCATTCTCTCTGCAAATTTTGGGCGAACATACTTTAATTCTAGATATATAAGCAAAGTGAACAGTTATTTTGCATTTCAAAATCATGCAAGTTTTGGCCACTGTCTTTGGTCGAAACAAACCAAACCGGGAGCAGCTGTAACTTGATTGCGCTGCAGTTTGGGACGAAATAGCATATGGTTACGAATGACTGTTTCTTTCTCGTACATATACATACAACATAATTTTCAGGGTCGGAGTATTTCTAAAGTGCCCTAAATGGTTAAAGGTCCTCACCGGCGCTTTATGCAGATTTCTCTAGCATAAATAAAGCGAATGGGACAACAAGGCAGCTAGGGTACTGTGTAGTCACCCCTGGACCTATCAGCTCCACTCCCGAATGGAGACTGAGTCATTATCCAAGTGCCTTGCCTAAGATCACAACACAGCTACCTCCTCCTCCCCTCCCCTCCCCTCCCCCCGGATGCCGTGATCGATCCAGAGTCAAACACGCTAACCCTTGGAATACTTCACCTGTTGTTCATTGTTGTTTCGAAGAACCACAAATTTTCATATTGAGTCTTAACCCGTTTGAAGTAAAAATTACCAGTTGTGTCACCCAATTGCTTCTTTCAATAGCGCCACTATGTAAACTACTGGGCCACCAGTAATCAATTAATGTTGACCCTCGTAAAATAAAGTCTTCTTCTTCACGCATTAATTAGGTTAAGTTTATAATGTACTTTAATTTGTTAGTACTCTCTCCTTATTACCAATTGAATATGATAATTACACCAGCTGTTATACTAACCAACTTCTCTGTAAAGATATTGACCCGTTCCAGCATGCCTTTTGGAGTCCATTCATACGGAAGAAATGGCTTTACCGCCTAAAATAACAGGAAGAAATGTATGAAATGACTCGATCACTTGCTGGTCAAATTAGAATAGACAATTCGCGCGCACGAATGCGGGTGCAGTGGAGGGTTTACGTAGAGTGATATGTGAAAATTCTATCAAAATTGCACAAGTTCTTAGGCGAGTGCAATCATTATTTGAAAGAATCTTCAAATATGATCGTTCACGAGTACATGCAGTGCAAATTCTCAACCTCTCAATCTTTCATATGATAACTCATGATCAATTATTATATGAGCAAGATAATTACACACGCGCTCGCTTAAATTTGCAATAGCACTTTAAAAGACATGCGACCGTGGCGATCAGAAATCTCGAACGCACGTAAAATTCTAGAGTGTCAAGGCTTATCACTCGCCTCGTGAGCGTCATACTGTTATGAGTTTGGCGCACACTCGAGTGCCCTCACACTCGACTTAAATCCTTAAAAAATGTTTAATTACTCGTGTAGTGCACGATCCTGAATATGCATGGCTTCAGTGTAGCTTCTCACTGGCTAAATTGCAGATACTATAGCCCTCGTACCCCGCCCCCCCCCCCCCCCCCCCCCCCCCCCCCCCCCCCCCCCCCCCCCCCCCCCCCCNATGAGCAAGATAATTACACACGCGCTCGCTTAAATTTGCAATAGCACTTTAAAAGACATGCGACCGTGGCAATCAGAAATCCCGAACGCACGTAAAATTCTAGAGTGTCAAGGCTTATCACTCGCTTCGCGAGTGTCTTACCGTGATGAGTTTGGCGCACACTCGAGTGCCCTCACACTCGACTTAAATCCTGAAAAAATGTTTAATTACTCGTGTAGTGCACGATCCTGAATATGCATGGCTTCATTGTAGCTTCTCACTGGCTAATTTGAGGATACTATAGCCCTCGTACCCCCCCCCCCTCCCCTCTCTGGGGGCAGGGGGATTCTCCCGGAAAAATTGGGTGAGAGTGTGCGCGCTTTTCAACCCTTTTACCCTTTTTAAGACCAAAATCTGCGATTTTCCCTACTCTGTTTATGACCTGACCAAACATTCGATACCCTATTTAGGACCTGACCCTTAAATTAATACCCTGTTTCAGACCTGCTTATAACAGACTGTTTTCGATATATTAAAATTCAGCTTGGCGACGAGACATTCCAAAGATTTCTTTTTGATCAGTTTTTTTAGAACGAGACTGAAGAAAGCTGCAATTAAGTTTATTCGTTACCTCTGATGACAATATTTCTTTCACTGTAGATTCCACTAATTCAAGATTATTGACATCAATGGTATATACATGCGGCTTGCCAATGAATGTTTCCATATATGGGTGTTGTGACGTCAACTAGAGTGGAAAATGGCGAAAATGACAGATGTCGCAGAAGGAACAAGCACTGGTTTATGTGGATACGACAATTTAAAACAATAATAGTAATAAACATAATAATGATAACGATAACGATAACGATAACGATAACGATAATGATAATGATAATGATAATGATAATGATAATAATAATAATAAAACAATAGCCGTCATGAAGGCAATCCCTCTGCAGTAGCTGTGGAAGATAATGTCCCCGTGGCGAGTGACGAGGTAGCTGTCCACAATGATAAAGAACAACTAAATGATCCCAACGTGCCGGAGACCCCTCAACACACCAATGATGGAGATGCTTGTTCCTTCCTTTCTGCTAGTAATCCAGCAGACTTATGACTGCCCTAGGCTCACGGATTGAACTCGGCACCATAAGTTAAAAGCGGCAAGACTTTAAGGATTTATAATAATAATAATAATAATAATAATAATAATAAAAATAGTAATAATAAAAATAATAATAATAATAGAAATAATAATAATAATAATAATAATAATAATAGCTGGTTTAAGATTAAAAAAGATTATGTAAAGATGAAAGTACCAACCTTCCGATAAGTTGGCTTTCCTTCGAAAAAGCCTGAGTTTTTTCGACTAAGCGGAGGATCTAACTGCCAAAAAGATGAAATATACACTGTCAAGTATGTGAAACTCATAATATGCTTTAGGTTTCAGCATAGCGCAGTGCAGCATAGCATACGATTTTGTTGCACCACCGTCAACCCCTCCCCTGGATCCTCCTCTATTTATAATGTATATATAGGAGAATTACATTGATGTAAGAGTTAATGGAGGCCGGTTTTCACTGGTTGGTGGCTTTTCTCAGTCCTCTTGAAACTTTAACCATCCCAGCTTTTTGTGGCTTTTCTCCGGCCGATATACCAATAGGTCCTCATAAGCTTACCTTGGGATTAATAAAAACACATCCTTGGGAAATAGCTTCGAGTGGTGCCGGCCCTTCATAGGGCTCTCCAAGGCCAATAAATATCTACCAATTAATACAAAACACGGTACAATTCATTAGAGGTCCAGGAGTCGTAAGGGAACCACTGATCGATAATTTCTCTTGAGCATAGTGGCAATGACGAAAAGAAATAACAAATTATAATAAAATAAGTTCTTAAAAACGAATTATACATAAGATCGATAGGCGCAGTCCATACTGGTTTCCGCCGTTTTCAGATTTATTTTCAAAACGACTTCAGTTAGAAACCCAGGAAAGGGGCCTTTAAGGAGCTAAAATTCAGAACATTTCTCCGGCCTACTCTAGAAACGTGCACCTTCGGGCTCGTTGTTTCGGAAAATTGACACCGTTTATCCTAGATCCGTGCTTTTTGCTCTTTACAGTCTTGTTCATACTACGGAAATCACTGAATCGTGGAAATGTATACGGGCTCGACTTTTTGTACAGCGACCACTCCTACTTTCTTTTGCTGACATGCGTGGTGAATATTAGTTCTCAAGGTCTCGCTGACCTGACTCACAGTCATCGACAACTAACACTCTTATGTGCGGAATATGCTCGCTTTGGACACAATTAGTTGTGGATAACATTTAGTTCTCTGTGACAAATAGAGTAGAAATATTGCTAGACATCACTTTATGCTACACAAACCGGGATAAGCACCGGCCTGATGGGTCACTTGGCTCGTATGCCTTCTTTACCTTCTTTTTACAAATATTCAGTCAACAACTAATGTCTAGTCTTAGGAAGCTAAACCAAACTTGCACATTTTGTGGTGTGCTATCATTAACTTAAAAACCGCTGATTGTGTGCATGCGCGTACTGCATGAAGCAACGCCATCACTATTGATCCCACAATACCTTGCTTCTTCTCAGCAGTTGCTGAAGATCGCCTGCCTTCATTACTCCATGATTAATGACGTAATCCGGCACATGATCTTGGACGTCTTTCTGTTGTTCCTGTAAAATGGGCATGAAGCTATTTTAGTATCAGCTGCAAAGTTGAACATTCGAACGTTCAGGATAACTTTTTCAAGTTGTTCTGGTAAAAACCTTTCTTACATAAATATTAAATATCAATCAGTTTAGTCGACTCGTAATTTCAGGTTTGTCCTAAGGATTTAAAACTGGTCTGGAGATAATCTAACACAACTGTACTTAATTTGTTCTTTAGTGTCCAAGGAAAGAAAGGAAAAAGGAACTATTCACTAGACCAAGTAGTCTCTGCGCTTTACTAGACGTGAAAATAAACAACTAGAGACCCGTAACTTACTTCTGTTTCATTTCCAATGGTGCCGTGTATCTCCAAGTATTTGCTAAGAGTATCGATGTAGTTTCTTCTATCCTGTGGTAATCAAAATTGAAAGATAGCTATGTTTACTTACTCTAGAAATTTACAATGTAAATATAACTTATATTACTTCTTATAAAGGGGTCCTGAAAGGAAGAATCTCTTCCCTTGGGTTAGAAATTGGAAACGAAATGCAGTTTTTGCCAATTGAATCTTGTAGTCTTTCAATAAAGGCAGGAGGGGATCCCCTCTAGCTTCGTTTTCTATTATTTAATAAATTTATGCAGGCAATTTTAAAGCCTTCTACGCGGACATACTTTCGTAATACAGAGTGAGATTGTTTGCTTACTCCCAGTTCTGATCAAACATAAATTTTTCGGCGAAAAAATATATTGCAATACTTTACAGGCCGTATATGAAATTATATGCTACTAGTCTTAACTGCTCCTGATATCAAATTGTTTTACACAGAAACACTTGACGTGGAGGTCGACAGACAAAACTACCAAAAACGAACAAGTTAACAAAAAGAGACAAGAAATATTTTGCTCACAAATAAAAACAAAGCATCTTTGGCGTACAACAAACCGATTGGTTTATCGGCTGGTTTCTTTGTATCGTTAAGCGAGGCTCCTTGGCTCGTTTCCATGGCAACTACCTTGTCGATAGCAAATCCAAGGAAGAGATTGTCAGGGCTGTGAGCTGAAGCAACAGAGAAAGGAAAAAAATCAAAGTTGTTCTTAACTCAGAGAGCGAATTAATGTCAAGGGGTTGTGTGAATGACTAGGCAGCCCACATATGCGAGTTGTGCGGGTGTTCACTAAGCAGTCAGGATCCACCACTGTGCCCTCCTACGTGGAACGAGAGGAACACTTGGAGAGTGAAATGTCTCGTACGAAGAAACTTTATGACATGTCGACCAGGCCGGTGTTAATAAATCTTAATGTAGCATTTAGCTTTCTTAAACAGTATCTTACGGAACATGGTTAGCATCTGTCGCAGTTGAATATCAAGGTTTCCAAAATCGGCCCCTTCTGATGGGTACTCGGCGTAATTAAATTCAGCCTCTGTACCGAATGAGTCCAAAATCCGTAAACTACATCTAAAAAGAGATAATGAGAACGATACCATTAGCTTTCTCCTCATCTTCTCCCACCTCCCAGACTGCAAGGAAAATGAGGAGAAAAACGAAGAAGGGAAAACAAGCGATAGCCGTTTGTTTTTTCCGGGCACGATAGATCGATTTCGTTCCCTCTTTTCTCGGCACTCTAAACACCCGAACAAATAATAATAATAATAATAATAGCTGGTTTAAGATTAAAAAAGATTATGTAAAGATGAAAGTACCAACCTTCCGATAAGTTGGCTTTCCTTCGAAAAAGCCTGAGTTTTTTCGACTAAGCGGAGGATCTAACTGCCAAAAAGATGAAATATACACTGTCAAGTATGTGAAACTCATAATATGCTTTAGGTTTCAGCATAGCGCAGTGCAGCATAGCATACGATTTTGTTGCACCACCGTCAACCCCTCCCCTGGATCCTCCTCTATTTATAATGTATATATAGGAGAATTACATTGATGTAAGAGTTAATGGAGGCCGGTTTTCACTGGTTGGTGGCTTTTCTCAGTCCTCTTGAAACTTTAACCATCCCAGCTTTTTGTGGCTTTTCTCCGGCCGATATACCAATAGGTCCTCATAAGCTTACCTTGGGATTAATAAAAACACATCCTTGGGAAATAGCTTCGAGTGGTGCCGGCCCTTCATAGGGCTCTCCAAGGCCAATAAATATCTACCAATTAATACAAAACACGGTACAATTCATTAGAGGTCCAGGAGTCGTAAGGGAACCACTGATCGATAATTTCTCTTGAGCATAGTGGCAATGACGAAAAGAAATAACAAATTATAATAAAATAAGTTCTTAAAAACGAATTATACATAAGATCGATAGGCGCAGTCCATACTGGTTTCCGCCGTTTTCAGATTTATTTTCAAAACGACTTCAGTTAGAAACCCAGGAAAGGGGCCTTTAAGGAGCTAAAATTCAGAACATTTCTCCGGCCTACTCTAGAAACGTGCACCTTCGGGCTCGTTGTTTCGGAAAATTGACACCGTTTATCCTAGATCCGTGCTTTTTGCTCTTTACAGTCTTGTTCATACTACGGAAATCACTGAATCGTGGAAATGTATACGGGCTCGACTTTTTGTACAGCGACCACTCCTACTTTCTTTTGCTGACATGCGTGGTGAATATTAGTTCTCAAGGTCTCGCTGACCTGACTCACAGTCATCGACAACTAACACTCTTATGTGCGGAATATGCTCGCTTTGGACACAATTAGTTGTGGATAACATTTAGTTCTCTGTGACAAATAGAGTAGAAATATTGCTAGACATCACTTTATGCTACACAAACCGGGATAAGCACCGGCCTGATGGGTCACTTGGCTCGTATGCCTTCTTTACCTTCTTTTTACAAATATTCAGTCAACAACTAATGTCTAGTCTTAGGAAGCTAAACCAAACTTGCACATTTTGTGGTGTGCTATCATTAACTTAAAAACCGCTGATTGTGTGCATGCGCGTACTGCATGAAGCAACGCCATCACTATTGATCCCACAATACCTTGCTTCTTCTCAGCAGTTGCTGAAGATCGCCTGCCTTCATTACTCCATGATTAATGACGTAATCCGGCACATGATCTTGGACGTCTTTCTGTTGTTCCTGTAAAATGGGCATGAAGCTATTTTAGTATCAGCTGCAAAGTTGAACATTCGAACGTTCAGGATAACTTTTTCAAGTTGTTCTGGTAAAAACCTTTCTTACATAAATATTAAATATCAATCAGTTTAGTCGACTCGTAATTTCAGGTTTGTCCTAAGGATTTAAAACTGGTCTGGAGATAATCTAACACAACTGTACTTAATTTGTTCTTTAGTGTCCAAGGAAAGAAAGGAAAAAGGAACTATTCACTAGACCAAGTAGTCTCTGCGCTTTACTAGACGTGAAAATAAACAACTAGAGACCCGTAACTTACTTCTGTTTCATTTCCAATGGTGCCGTGTATCTCCAAGTATTTGCTAAGAGTATCGATGTAGTTTCTTCTATCCTGTGGTAATCAAAATTGAAAGATAGCTATGTTTACTTACTCTAGAAATTTACAATGTAAATATAACTTATATTACTTCTTATAAAGGGGTCCTGAAAGGAAGAATCTCTTCCCTTGGGTTAGAAATTGGAAACGAAATGCAGTTTTTGCCAATTGAATCTTGTAGTCTTTCAATAAAGGCAGGAGGGGATCCCCTCTAGCTTCGTTTTCTATTATTTAATAAATTTATGCAGGCAATTTTAAAGCCTTCTACGCGGACATACTTTCGTAATACAGAGTGAGATTGTTTGCTTACTCCCAGTTCTGATCAAACATAAATTTTTCGGCGAAAAAATATATTGCAATACTTTACAGGCCGTATATGAAATTATATGCTACTAGTCTTAACTGCTCCTGATATCAAATTGTTTTACACAGAAACACTTGACGTGGAGGTCGACAGACAAAACTACCAAAAACGAACAAGTTAACAAAAAGAGACAAGAAATATTTTGCTCACAAATAAAAACAAAGCATCTTTGGCGTACAACAAACCGATTGGTTTATCGGCTGGTTTCTTTGTATCGTTAAGCGAGGCTCCTTGGCTCGTTTCCATGGCAACTACCTTGTCGATAGCAAATCCAAGGAAGAGATTGTCAGGGCTGTGAGCTGAAGCAACAGATAAAAGAAAAAAAATCAAAGTTGTTCTTAACTCAGAGAGCGAATTAATGTCAAGGGGTTGTGTGAATGACTAGGCAGCCCACATATGCGAGTTGTGCGGGTGTTCACTAAGCAGTCAGGATCCACCACTGTGCCCTCCTACGTGGAACGAGAGGAACACTTGGAGAGTGAAATGTCTCGTACGAAGAAACTTTATGACATGTCGACCAGGCCGGTGTTAATAAATCTTAATGTAGCATTTAGCTTTCTTAAACAGTATCTTACGGAACATGGTTAGCATCTGTCGCAGTTGAATATCAAGGTTTCCAAAATCGGCCCCTTCTGATGGGTACTCGGCGTAATTAAATTCAGCCTCTGTACCGAATGAGTCCAAAATCCGTAAACTACATCTAAAAAGAGATAATGAGAACGATACCATTAGCTTTCTCCTCATCTTCTCCCACCTCCCAGACTGCAAGGAAAATGAGGAGAAAAACGAAGAAGGGAAAACAAGCGATAGCCGTTTGTTTTTTCCGGGCACGATAGATCGATTTCGTTCCCTCTTTTCTCGGCACTCTAAACACCCGAACAAAACTTTCCTTGTGAGGTTGCCAAAATTGACCGGCCAACTGGGGGACGGAAATTAAAGTGGGAAATCCACGGGAGGCAGGGGAGGAGGGACGGGAACATGGAAGAATTCCTAAGATAGCGGAAACCTGGAGAAATAGCATCAAAAAAAATTAACGATATTTTGTAATGTTTAGCAAGATAAAGAGCATAATTAACGAGGAGCGATCCTCGGGTAGCTAAAGACAGGAAAATCAGAGCTTCAGAACATCAAATTAACAAAATCCACGATTTACCAAGTTTTTCATTCGTCTGTCCTCCCCGGGGGGACTCCCATATCAAAAGCACGGGGGTACTCGTCGGAAATTTTGAAAAAAAAA